ATATAGTAATAGAGAAGATAATGCATACTTGACATCTTAACATTTCAGCCTGAGATTATTGCTAATGCCTTATGTATCATTTTAAGCATAATATTGTCTCAGAAGGAAAATTTTCTTACTAAATTACCTAATTTTGAGCACACTTGGTTTCTCCTGAAGGTCTCCAGATGTGTCCAGATAGTTATGCCTAGAAATAAAGTAGTTTGGAAGTATAGCATAATAGATTAGGGTTCCATTTAGAATTTTTATATTTTTCATTTAGTTTGTTTTTATGAAAAACATTACAAAATAATTTAAAATATTTTTCATGCGTTGTTTTTCAAGATAAAGAAAATATTTGCAGACAACCAAGTTCGGTGTGAAATGAAGAAAATGAGTCATCTATGAATAGGAATTAATTTTTGCAGCAAAAATTATCATGTATACTGTACTTTAAATTTTTTTATTGGAGGTTTAGAAGTTAATTCTTTACAGTTATAATAGGAGGCCTTGAAACCAGACAAAGAGTAGATCTGGGCTGCCTATCACTACTTGAGCTAATTAAGCAGAGACAATGTTGAACTGTATATGAGCATTTATTCCAATATTGCTGGCAGTTCAGGAGAGCAGCAGGTCATCCTGTAAAAATCTGCTTTGTACTCCCCTTGCTAGCCGGCCATTTATAAAGGGTAGAAAGACAAAGACTATGTGAAAAAAGGCCAGGAAGGCAAAAATAAAAAAAAGGGGGGGTAAAGTGGTTACAGGCGATTACAATCACAGGAAGGAATGCAGGCTGGGGGATTGCAAAAGGTGGTCGCCAGTGTGTCCTTGTGGGCGTTCCAATGCTCCAGTAACCAGGTTGTTAATCTCTCCATGATGTCAAGTAGTTCCCCCTTGTTCTCAGATTAGGAGAATGGACAGCATTCCTGAGGTAAACTCCCAAGGCCTACAGCTCCCAGCCAAGTCAGAGGGGGCTTTTCTTTAATCAGAACAAAGGAATCATGATGAACATTGCAAAGGATGATTAACATTTCTTATAACTATGGCTAATACCCCACTATGATTAGTTCTCTATTCTATTATTCTCTCCCACCCCTTTCAACTTCTATAAAAATCTAACAGTTCTGGCAAAAAGTAGAAAATAAAATGATTTTAAATATCTTTTAAAATGGTTTTATGGAATAGATTGGCATATGAGACATGCAAGTTTGGTAAGTACCTGACTGCACATACCTACTCATCTATTTTTGAAAACTAATGAAAGGAGTTTCATTGCAGATGCCTGAATAATTTTGTGATTATGTAATGCCCAGGTTAATTTCAGAAATCACTTAAAGCAGGATGGAGCTTAAAAAAGTAAGCAAAAAAAAAAAAAAAGTCAAAATGCAGACGAGTCATGTCCAGATACGTTTTTTAACACTCAGATCAGAGGCTTTGACTTTTACCCTTTCCTCTTTCCAAGCTGCCAAACTGGCTTTTCTGGAAGCAGGCTTGCTCCGGATGAGTGGCAGTTGGTGATATTTCTGTTTGGGGAAATCTTTTAATTTTTGGTTTCTTGCTCCTTCCTCTAACTCTTTACTCTCTCATTTTAAAATTTCTTTTATCCTTCTGTCCTGTCCTTTTGGCTTTGCCTGGTTTCCTCTGGGCTCTGGGCTTGTTGTCTCCAGTATTCCCGCAGAACTCTTCCTGCCCTCAGTTGTCATACTTTACATGACTGTCTAGTTCCCTGCATGCTTTCCTACACAAAGTATTTAGGTGTTTGGGGGTAAAAACGTAAACAGCAAACTTTAGTTTTCAACTGTCCTGGGTCAAATGTTAATTAGCGTGACAAATCTTGACACATATAATTATTTGTTGGTAGTGTGCTTGCTAAGGATATATAGGACACAAAATGTGGGTGTTTCTCACACCCAATAGGATGACTATTATAAAAACTAAACAAAACATAAACGGAAAATAACAAGTGTTGGGGAGGATGTGGAGAAACTGGAATCTTCCTGCATTGCTAGTGGGAATATCAAATGATGCAGCTGCTGTGGAAAGCAGTTGGGCAGATCCTCAAAAATTAAACATAGAATTATCCTGTGACCCAAAGATTCCACTTCTACATATATACCGGAAAGAATTAAAAGCAGGGACTTGAAGAGATACTCGTACACCAATGTTCATAGTAGCATTTTTCACGACGGCCTAGAGGTGGAAACAAACCAAATGTCCATCAACTGATGAATGGATAAGCATAACCTGATGTATATACGTTATTCAGCCATAAAAAGGAATGAAATTCTGACACATGCTACAACATGGATAAATCTTAAACATTATGCTAGACAGATAAAGACAAATATTACGTAATTCCACTTATATGAGGCACCTGGGGTAGTTAAATTCATGGAGGAGACAGAAAGTAGAAACATGGTTGCAGGATAGGGTGAAGGGTATATGAGGAGTTCATGTTTAATGGTGATATAGTGTCTGTTTGGGATGACGAAAAAGTTTTGGAAGTGGATGGTGGTGATGGTTACACAACATTGCTAATATACTTGCTTAATGCCATTGTATTGTATACTTGAAAATGATTTCAATGGCAAATTTTAAGTTACCACACGCAAAAAATGTAGGTGGTTTGTGGCTAGCCTTGACTAGGTTCCACCAAGGCACCTTTACCTAATGAAAGCCATCAGCTCTGTGTCTGCTCCGACTATAGGGACCTAGAGGAGACTGACTCTGTCTTCCCTAACCTCTGTGTGGAGTGGGGATTACTGTCTTTAAGTGGAGCGGTTTCTAGAAAGTGCTGTTCAATATGAATCAGAACTTTGGGAAAAGCCCAGAGCGATTCATAGTAACTGGTCATATATGGGACTTCTCTAGAAATAATACATTGAAGAACATAAATTTTTTAAAAAATCTTATTTTTATTACCAAAATAACACCTACTTATTATAAAAAATTTGGAAAATAAAGGTAACCAGGAAAAAAATATCATTTATAATCCCATCATTCAAAGAGAAATAACTGTAACATTTTGTTGTATATTCTTTTAAGTACTTTTTCATCTATATCATATATATGTGTGTTGTGTAACCTCCTTTGTGAAATAACAATTTTTTTGTAAATATCTTTTCATGGGTAACATTTAAATAAAATGTTTAATGATTATTTAGTTAAATTTGTACTATCAAGGTTTTGAGGGGCTTTAAAATAAACTTTATACTGGAATAATTTTAGATTTATAGAAAAGTTGCAAAGTACAGAGTTCCTGTATGTTTTTCACCTAGTTTCCCCTAATATTGACATCTTACATAACCTTTACACATTTGTCAGAAATAATAAATTCACCTTGGTAGAAATTGAAGACTTAATTTGAATTTCACTAGTTTTTCAATTAATCTTCTTTTTCTGTTCCAAGATCCAATCTGGGGTACCACATTGCATTTAGGACAAGTGTTTTTTGACCATTTATTATATGCAAGATATTGTAGAGGATGCAAAATAAATAAGCTGCCTTCAAAGAGTTGTCTGTCTGATAAGGAGTTAATATAGGTGCATAAACCCCAAAAGTTCAGGGCAGATTACAGTAACTATGTAAGAAAAGAACAAAGGGCTGTGATGAGTCCACTTGGGAGCTCAGAAATGTTTAATGAAAGAAGTGGGCTAAGCTTGGACAAAGTCATGAATGTGAAAAGGTTGAGCGTTTTTTCAGAGATTGTAAATAGCAGTTCAATATGTCAACTGCACAGGCCATGTCACCCTTTCTCAGGTCTAACTATGAGTTGAACTTCTCTATATGGCTTTTTAAAAATTCAGGTATCTGAGACCCATCCCCGTAGCAATAGAATCTGAATTTAAGAAGGCAGGGCCAAATAGCTTTTTTGGTTGTTTTCGAGTTCATGGGTGATTGGAGAGAATCCAGAAGACATGGTTAAGCTAAAAGCAGAGAATCACTAAATTGAATTGACTCTATTAGTTTTTTGATAAATTTTAGCATATTCCTTTTACTAGATTCATCACTAGAGATATGAAATAGAGGCACTTTTCCATAAGATTGGGTAGATATTCGTTATAAAATGCCATATCTCTTGCCCTGGCTGGTTTGGCTCAGTGGTTGGAGCATTGCCTGCGGACCAGAGAGTTCTGAGTTCGGTTCCCGCTAGGGGCACATAACAACAAAAAATTTTATAAATATGTCATATCTCCCCTGCATCTCTACTTACACATGCTGGAATAAGTCCTGTTGCCTATCAGTGACCAAGTAACCGCAATATTGGCTGGAACTTTTGTACATGAGATTATCATCTTGCTTCCTCATCTGTGAAGTGGTGGGTAGCACTCAGAATAGGTTGTGTTTGTCATTTTATGGTTTAGTGTTGCTTTTGCTATGGTTGAGGCACTGTTATCTTTTCTTTATCCAGGGTGCCTAAATTCTTTTTATAGCCACTTCTAAGAATGGTCTATTTGAAGTATAAAAGAAGCACACACATGTGTGACAAACTGAGCTCACACTGGTTCTTTGCTACTCGATCTACTGGAGCATGTCTGCACACAAGTAGTGGTTAGAATTTAGATCCTCAGGACCTTACTTTTGTTTAGAAAATTCACTTTGTCACACTGGACGCTTAGCCACTTTGATGGAGCAGCAGATAAACACAAAAGGCTCCCAGGTAGTATATGATATGAGGCAAACAGGACTGGGCTGCCTTATGCAATTTGTTACCCTGATTTAGATACATGTTTGGGTTGGAGAAAGTCAATGGGAAAGATTATACCTAAACAAAACTGCAGAGGTTCCACTGATAAAACAGTCTCAACAGTTTAGACTCCCCCTGTTGGCCACATAAGTCAGTAGAGCAATTTACAGAATTACAATTCTGCTTTCCTCCCGGCTTTTTGTTCAAGTTCCTTTAAATAGACGTCCTTACTGAGGAATTCTTTATACCAAGAGAGAATAGAGCTTCTTTAAGACTTTTGTTTTTCTTATTGCATAAAGTTTTATTTTTCAAAATGTACATCTGGTGACCTGTTCATGCATTTTCTCCAGCATCTGGGGTGTCCCCACATTTTGTGTTCCTGGTGTAAATCACTTGAGCTCTGTGCTTTGAGACTAGTTTAATAAGCCCTTTGCTAAGGAGCTTCTGAAGGGCTGCCCTGGTCAAGGAACCTTGGCTCTTCAGTCTCTCAGAAACAGCAGCTGGGGTTATAAGTTTATAGTTGAGAACTTGCTTACACAGTTTGTCATATGTTGCTTTGTTAAACAACACTAGGTTATTGAGCTTGTTCCAGACTTTGCCTTTGGACCATTTCTTCTTTTTGGCTTTACCCACAGATTTGTTCACTGGGTCTTTGTTTTTCTTGGCTGACTTTCCAGCATCTTTCTTCTTCTTGTCGTCCTTGGGTGACATAGCAAAACCCTGGGAGCAGCTGCTATCACCTCGGCCTCGACAAGATGTTGGACCAAGACTTTTATTTTTGAATTCAAGAATTCTGACCTAAAAGCGGGAATAATGTCAACATCTTAATTTGAAAACAGAAAGGACAATAATAAAACATAAATTATAGGTTCCAGTGAATAAAATGTAGTTAATAGTTGAGGCATCTAGGAACAATGCCAATATTAATCAGAAATATATGAACCAAAATAGAAACAGCAATTCTGGAAGGAAAGAAATGCTACTACTACGGTGTTTTCAAGTAATCAATAGATAGGTAAAATAGTAACTTTTTATTCAGTTGAAATGTACCTGTGTTTAAATTTGTGCTTATAAGTAGTAAGCTCCATGAGTCCAAGAACAGTGTCAATGTGTTTAACAGGTTCTTGGGCAGAGTAGATACCGTTGCTCTTAAAAAAAAAAAAAATATATATATATATATACACACACACACACACACACATATACACACACATATACACACATATATATACATATATGTGTGTATATGTGTGTGTATATGTGTGTGTGTGTATACATATATATATTTGATTTTTTTAGAGAGAAAGGAAGAGAGATAGAAACATCGATGTAAGAAAGAAACATTAATCAACTGCCTCCTGCACATCCCCAACTGGGGATTGAGCCCGCAACCTGGGCATGTGCCCTGATCAGGAATCAGTCCATGGAGCGAGACTCAATCCACTGAGCCACACTGGCTGGGCAAGAATAGAGACTTTTAAAGGATTGTTTTAATCTCCATGGCAACAAACAAACAAACAAACCTAAAGATGGCGTATCAACTAAGCAATGTGTAACTGAAGACTAAGGTATCACGATGGGGGAAATTGTGATAAGCTAGAGGATGAAGACTAGAAGAGAATGAAAAACCACATCATGTTGAGAATCTGACACCATTCAACCTCTTCACTGAATATTCAAAGGGAAATTTTTTTTTATTAATTAATTTTTGTTACAGATGTTTCTCCTTACCTGCCCACTGATTCCCCCCTCCCCCTCCCTCTCTGCCCTGTCCCCAGCTTTGTTGTCCATGTCCATTGTTCATGCATACATGCATATAAGTTCTGTGGTTTATCTCTCCCCCACCACCCCCTCTTCTGCGGACTGTCAGTCTGTACCCCACTTCCACGTCTCTGGGACTACCCCATTCCTCAGACTGTTATGGTCAATATATTCCACAAATAAGTGAGATCATATGATACTTGTCTTTCTCTGTTTGGCTTGTTTCAGTTAGGATGATACTTTCCAGGTCCCTCCATGTAGTCTCAAAGGATAAGAGACCTTTTTTTCTTACAGCTGCGTATTCTGCTGCGTATGATGTCTGAAATTTTGATGCCTACAATTTCTTCTAGGATTTTTATGGATTCACGAGTCACATTTAAGTCTTTTATCAATTTTGAGTTTATTCTTGTGTAGGGTGTAAGTTGATGGTCTAGTTTCATTTTTCTGCATGTAGCTGTTCAATTTTCCCAACACTATTATTAAAAAGGCTGTCCTTATTCCACTGTATGCTCTTGCTACCTTTGTCAAATATTTTTTATTTATTTTTTATTTTTATTTTTTATTTTTGTTACAGATGTTTCTCCTTTTTTACCCCATTGGCACCCCCTCCCCACCCCACACCCGCCCCGACCCCGGCTTTGTTGTCCATGTCTATTGGTTATGTATACATGCATATAAGTTTTGTGGTTTATCTCTTCCCACACCCCCCACCTCAGTCAGTGCCCTACTTCCATGTTTCTGGGTCTACAGTATTCCTCAGACTGTTATGTTCATTATATTCCGTATATAAGTGAGATCATGTGGTATTTGTCTTTTTCTGCTTGGCTTATTTCACTTAGGATAATACTTTCCAGGTTCCTCCATGTCGTCTCAAAGGAAAAGAGATCTTTCTTTCTTACAGCTGCGTAGTACTTCATTGTGTATATGTACCACTGCTTTTTTATCCATTCTTCTACTGATGGACACTTGGCTGTTTCCAGATCTTAGCTATTGTAAATAGTGCTGCTATGAACATGGGGGTACATATATTCTTTCAGATTGGTGTTTCAGGCTTCTTAGGGTATATTCCTAGAAGAGAGATCACTGGGTCAAATGGAAGTTCAATTTTTAATTTTTTGAGGTAACACCATATTGTTTTCCATTGTGGCTGCACCAGTCTGCATTCCCATCAGCAGTGTATTAGAGTCCCCTTTTCTCCACACCCTCACCAACACTTGTTGTTTGATGATTTGTTGATGGCGGCCATTTTGACAGGTGTGAGGTGATAGCTCATTGTTGTTTTAATTTGCATCTCTCTGATGATTAGTGATGTTGAGCATTTCTTCATATGTCTCTTGGGCATTTATATGTCCTGTTTGGAGAGGTGTCTATTGAGCTCCTCTGCCCATTTTTTAATTGGGTTCTTTGTCTTCCTTTTGTTGAGTTGTATGAGCACTCTATATATATTGGAAATTAAGCCCTTATCTGATATATCATTGGCAATGATGTTATCCCATACAGTGGGTTGCCTTTCCATTTTGATGATTGTTTCTTTTGCTGTGCAGAAGCTTTTGAGTTTGATGTAGTCCTATGTGTTCATTTTTTCCTTTGTTTCTGTTGCCTTAGGTGATGTATGAGTGAAAATTCTGCTTCGTATGATGTCCGAAATTTTGTTGCCTACATTTCCTTCTAGAATTTTTATGGATTCACGGGTCACATTTAAGTCTTTTTATCCATTTTGAGTTTATTTTTGTGTATGGTGTAAGTTGATGGTCTCGTTTCATTTTTTTTGCATGTAGCTGTCCAATTTTCCCAACACCATTTATTAAAGAGGCTGACTTTACTCCACTGTATGCTCTTGCCACCTTTGTCAAATATTAATTGAGCATATTGCCTTGGGTCCATTTCTGGGTTTTCAGTTCTGTTCCACTGGTCTATATGCCTGTTCTTGTGCCAGTAGCAGGCTGTTTTGATTACAGTCGTTTGTAGTATAACCTGATATCTGGTATTGTGATCCCACCTACTTTGTCCTTCTTTTTCAAAATTGCTGTGGCTATTCGGGGACTTTTTTGGTTCCATATGAACTTTTGAAGTATTTGTTCTAGTTCTGTGAAATATGTCATTGGTATTTTGATGGGGATTGCATTGAATCTATAGATTGCTTTGGGTAATATGGACATTTTAATGATGTTAATTCTTCCAATCCATGAACAGGGTATGTGCTTCCACGTTTTTATATCTTCCTCTATTTCTTTTTTCAATGACCTGTAGTTTTCTGCGAATAGGTCCTTTATTTCTTTGGTTAAGTTTATTCCTAGGTATCTTAATTTTTTTGCCGCAATGGTAAATGGGATTGTTTTCTTAGTTTCTCTTTCTGTGAGTTCGTTATTCATGTATAAGAATGCCATCAATTTCTTGACATTAATTTTGTATCCTGCTACTTTGCCAAATTCATTTATTAAGTCTAGTAAATTTTTGATGGAGTTTGGGGTTTTCTACGTATAGTATCATGTCATCTGCAAATAATGACAGTTTCACTTCCTCCTTTCCAATTTGGATCCCTTTTATTTTTTCTTCATGTCTGATTGCTGTGGCTAAGACTTCCAGTACTATGTTAAATAAGGGTGGCAAAAGTGGGAATCCTTGCCTTATTCCTGTTCTTAAGGAAAATGCTTTTAGTTTTTGCCCATTGAGTATGATGTTGGCTGTAGGTCTTTCATATATGGCTTTATTATGTCTAGATATGATCCCTCTATTCCCACATTGCTGAGCGTTTTTATCAGAAATGGATGCTGGATTTTTTCAAAGGCTTTTTCGGCATCTAGTGATATAATCATGTGGTTTTTATTCTTCATTTTATTTATGTGGTGTATCACAGTTATTGATTTGCGAATATTGTACCAGCATTGCATCCGTGGGATGAATCCTACTTGGTCATGGTGGATAATTTTTTTGGTGTATTGCTGGATTCGATTTGCTAGTATTTTGTTCAGGATTTTGGCGTCTATGTTCATCAGGGATATTGACCTGTACTTTTCTTTCTTTGTAGTGTCTTTTTCTGGTTTTGAAATTAGAATTATGCTGGCTTCATAAGATGAGTTTGGAAGTATTCCTTCTTCTTGAATTTTTTGAAATAGTTTGAGGAGAATGGGTGTTCGTTCTTCTTTGAATGTTCGGTAAAACTCCCCCGAGAAGCCATCTGGGCCTGGGCTTTTGTTTGCTGGGAGAGTCTTGATTACATCTTCAATTTCTTCTGTTGCTATTGGTCTGTTTAAGTTTTCTATCTCTTCCCGGTCCAGTTTTGGGAGACTATTTGTTTCTAGAAATTTGTCCATTTCGCTTAGATTGTCGAATTTGTTGCCATATAATTGTTCATAGTAGTTGTTAATGATCTTTTGTATTTCTGTGGTGTCAGTTGTTACTTCTCCTCTTTCATTTCTGATTTTGTGTATTTGGGTTCTCTCTCTTTGTTTCTTGGTGAGTCTAGCTAAGGGTCCATCAATCTTGTTTATCTTTTTGAAAAACCAGCTCTTTGTTTCATTGATCCTTTGAATTGTTTTTTTTTTTTTTGGTCTCTATGTTGTTTATTTCTGCTTTGATCTTTACTATTTCCTTCCTTCTACTTGCTCTGTGGTTTTCTTTTTGTTTGCTCTCTAGTTCTTTAAGTTGTGAGGTTAGATAGTCTGTTAGAGATTTTTCTTGTTTTTTGAGGTAGGCCTGTAGTGCTATGAACTTCCCTCTCAGAACTGCTTTCACTGCATCCCATAGATTTTGTGTTGTTGTGTATTAATTTTCATTGGTTTCCAGAAAGTTTTTAATTTCTTCTCTGATCCCTTCAGTAACCCATTCATTGTTTAATAACATGCTATTTAGCTTCCATGTGTTCAAATGTCTTTGTATGTTCTTCTTGCAATTGATTTCTAGTTTCATGACATTGTGATCTGAGAAGATGCTTGATATGATTTCTTGAA